GCCCTGCAAAAGAGAAGATAGTAAGGGATAATAAATATCCCATGTGGTAGCCATACTGTCCCGATTTTAATCACCTGTTCAGTGAGGTTGGTTTATAATTTAGATCTTTTTAATTAGGTTTTAAAAAAACAGATAAATGGGCACTTGACCTGTTTTCTGAACAGCTGCATTTCCCTTCTCGCAATGTCAAGCATTAATAGTCAGTGACAGATACTGAGTCCCTTTCTCATGTGGTTTAAATAACTTTTTATTAAAAATAAAATACTGCCCTGGCAAGAGGAAAAATATCCAAACATAAGTTGTTAAAAGTGTGAGCCAGGTTTGTGTCTCTGACTAGTCACACTAAAGTATTCAGAAGAAGAATGCTCTCCTTTTGTGCGGGGTTGGTAGTAAAAACAAGACCCATAAAGGAATTGACGAGAGCCACCAGGAATTCCAAAGCACCAGAACTTGGTGCAGTGCCCCGACGCTGTGTACAAAACCCTCCTTGGCCTGTTGTCTGTGAAGGCTGTTGCAGTGTAACATTGTTCAACTTTTAGGGCCAGATGCTCATCTTGTAGCCTATGCGTAAACCAGGAGTATTTTCGGTGCGGTTACTGTAGCTCTAGGCCATGGTGCTGCAATTAGATGTGGATGGACAGATGGATGTTGGTGCCCCTGTAAGCCCTGTGGAAATTAGTGGTCTGTCTGCCTGTCTCTGGTGGCAGGATTGGGGCCGTACTGTGCTGTGACCGAGATCAGAATTTGGTCCTTAAGCCCTTAATAAGAATTTTGCATCAACTGCATGGAGATGATGGGGCTACTGTAGCCCCTGCTATGCTAAACACTTCTCCATGGATGCAGCTCGCTCTCTCAACGAGAATTCGAATGGCGTGCTGAACAGCAGTTGATTGAAGAGTGAATTTTAAAATTCCTGTGTCAAAGTGGGGGAAGTGATGGTGGAGATGGCTGCAGCTCTAGAAATGCCGTAGTTTTGTTTGCCGTGACTGTGTGCAAAATGACTGGAGCGTTTACGCTGCTGTTCCCCAAGATGGCATAAATGCCACAGCACTGTAACGTTCCTTCATCTATAGACACATCTACCTACCTATGGGGCCAGATCCTGCAGCCCCATAGCCACATGACTAGTGTTCTGCAGGCTCAGGCGTGCACACCTAATATTGTCCAGCTAGAAATAGAAAAAGATGAAAAGAAGATCAATACATGAACGTCTAAATGTGTTTTTAAATAAACCTGTCAGGGTAACTTGCTAGAGATTTTTCTCTCCACACGAAATTGTAATGATCTATAACAAAGGGAAGAGCTCATTTGCAGTGGCTGAGAATGGCATTAAAAGGCGCAGTGGTTTGAAACTAAAAAAAGGAAAAATGTTGCTTGGAAGATAAAACAATCTGAACTGTAAGGACCATTAAGCAATGGAATGATCTTAACTATCTCCCTAGTTAGGAGCCATCACTGGAGATATTTAAGAGTTAGATAAAATACTTGTGGTAGCAAATTTGTAGGGGGTTGGGTTGGATGACCCATGGGACTTTTTACCCCCTTTCATGTAGGTCTCCAGGAATATGCAGTAATATATTAAATGCGTATCTGGGTCTGACCTTACGCTTGTCATATGTTGCCAGATGTTCATCCCCTCACATCAGTACATTGTTGAATGAGCGGTTCTTGATCCAGACTTGTGTAAACAGCATTTTATGCAACATCAATAATACAATGGTCTTCTGTAGCCCACGCAATTTGTACAGCACCTCCCTCAATGGAATCATGGCCCACGGCGAGGGGTCCCCTGCAGTAGAAATAATAGAGGGTCTCCAAACTCTTCCCAAACCAGCCTTAACAGCTGTGAGGTGGAAAAATAGTTGGTTCACCTAGAAAATGGGGATACTAAGGAAGTTGACAGAAGAGTTTTCAGTGGCACAGAAAGCCCTTAAATGCTCAGTTCCCGTTGACTCCAACACTCCTTCCCCCAATTGACTTGTTCTATATTACACAGCAAGACTGTGCCTGTCAAGAATAGTACCCGAGAGTGCCTAACTCTGTCCCATGCTGTAGCCACTAAACTATACCCCCACCCTTTGGGCTGTAAATAGCAAAGCCCTAAACCTTCGCGCATCTCACTCTGAAGTTTCTGTCCTGCCCTTATTGACCTCCAGGATAGCTAATGTTGTTGGCTCCCACCAGACAAAATTTTGGGTCATTCAAATTAACTTCCAGCCTTTCCCCTTTGTGTTCGCTTTCATGCGGGATACATGTGTCATTTGCTTAAAAGTAAAAAAAAAAACAAAAAAACAAAAAAAAAAACAACCCAATTCGAGATATGAAATAGCTCAGCTGATCACAGTGAGGAGGGGAGGTGCCTAGATGACATTGCTGGTTTCCATTCATTTCTCTCCCTCTCTTGCACAATTCTCTTCAATGCTAGATCTTAGAGATTTTTCTGTATTAGTATCAACTCCGTTTTGTTGGACATTAGAGCACTAACTTACACCCTGGTTTTAATGAACGAATGTATTAGAGCTAAGCCTTGTGTTAGCAGTACACTGAAAGCTATGCGGTAGAGTTAAACATATCGTGCTATGTACTTTGGGTTGCAAATTGACAGGGATTTAATTCTAAACCACCTTTATAAAAGTGCCTTTATGTAACAGCTTGTTTTAATCATATATTTTTTCATATTTCATTCAAATATTTTATTTCATAATATTTTAGTTCTTTAGGCAATTTTACAGTCCGTTAGTTTTCTGCACATACAATAAATGTCATTGTGTTCCCATGAAGTAATCAATCCTACATGTCATTAATACGCTTGCATGATATTACTACTTTAATAAGCCTCAGTTTTAATATAATGTGCAATATCTGTGTTAGTAAAAATCTTCCCTGTGCATAAAACGTGCATTGGCAATGAAATGTGTCAAATCCCCTTTTATAGTGGAGGAAAATGTTTCAATTTTCGTTGAATCTCTCTCCCTTTTTTTTAATCTCCTCTTAGGAAAGTGGAAGATCACGGTTTACATTAATATTTATCTTGTTCTTTAATCATTTTTTTTCAGAAGTGATTTTTGACACTTTTCCGTGATTAGTTGAAAAGTGAATATAGTAGTGATATTAAAGGAAGAACCCAACAAATATAAGGATGATTAATCCTCGGATCAGAGTGATAATTTACTCAAGTAATGGCAAAATCAATCAGAACTTGCTTCATTTCCATTTAAAAAAACACATCCTACAGGCTAAACTTGAAACCACTCTTGTGAAACGAGTGGAACTGTTATGTATGACTTTATTAAGATTGCAGGATCTTTGGGCCAGGGACTGCATCTTGGTACTGTGTTCGTCAAGTGCGTAGCGCAATGGGAATCTAATCCTTGCTTGACAGCCTCTAGACGCTACTGCAGTACAAGTAATTAATAAGTAAGACTTTTTTCTGGGAGATGAAGTCAAAGGTTCTCATTGACTTCAGTGGTGGTTGGATTTGGGTCTCTGCACCTCAAGTTGCTTTTTAACAGACAATTAAGTGCTGTGTACCCACCCCGTATTCTAAACCGCAGCAGTGGATTAGATGATTTTTATGATCAAGGCTTTTGATTCTGATAGGAGCTGTTTGTTCTGTTTGCTCTTGTGTGCCTGCAAATGGCTGTTGGAACATAGTTGAGTTAGAGTGAGGGGCGTGGGTGCGTGTGCACAAGTAGATACGAATGTACACACACACACTTATTTATATAGACCTACCAAAGTGACTTGGTTTTGCCAGCCTCAAGCAGTCATAAAATCATGAGACTTAAACTCCCCCTCCCCCCCCCGCGCCCCAATGATTTAATGAGCTAAAAGTATTGAGTTCTTTTTGTATCACACGCCCCTAGGAGCTGGGGCTTCTCCAGAATGCCCAAATCGCATGGGCCTCCCGATTAAACTAAGAGACATGGCACCACCAAGGAGGAGTGTTCTAAATATTTGGCTGGGGATACTGCAAGGGACTGTACTTCTCGAGAGTAGGGGCTCAGCCTTTTCCAAAAATCAGGCTCCCCAGGAATGAGGTATCTGAAATGACTCGTTCCTTGGAAACCGGGGGCATCTATTAAATGGTTTTCTGCTCCGGGCATTGCAGTACAAGGCTGCCCAGCACGTGAGTACTGGTTTTCATAGACTGTGTTGTATGCGCGGCTCCGCCTGGACTTTTGCAAGTAGGCCCTGATCCTGCAGTTACGTGTGTGGAGCCCACTGACGCTCTTACGCTGCTCCATGTAGGCGTCAGGGTCCATCCACACACATCCTGTTGCCTTCATGGGGCTGGCATGAGCTAGGCAAGCAGGATTTGGCCTGTAATAATGCTAACACAGTAGGAAAAACACTATATTTGAATAGTCTTCTCTTAGCTGAAAAATAATTGGCTTGTCCTAAGCCCATTCCTGTTAAGGCTGTGGGCTTGGATGGCGGGGGAACACATGCAAACAAGGTAACGCTGGGATTTGTATATTCAGTGATACGCATTACCCCAGTCACACAAACTCCCCTCTATCCAATCTTCGCTCCTCTTTCCTGTCAAACCCCTCATTTTCCCTGAATCCTCAACCCCGATCTGGTTCTCTCCTGTCTCTGGCTCCTTCCACCTATGACAAGCTCCCGGCATGCCCACGGCCATAGAGATGTGAGCAGAATGATGCTCTAACATCACTTTGCCCAACCCAACTGTAGCTATGTCGCTAGGGCAAAGCAGGATGGGGGCCTATGCTTTAAGCAGGGTTTTGGTGACCACTATCCTCGGATGGTGGGGTTCCCCTCCAACTATATCCACCTTGCCTAGAATACCTCTTCCCTCAGCTCTGCAGCTGCTTGGAAGCCCAGTAGGGGATGCACAAAATCGAGAGCGTCGCAGGTAAATCAGGAAGCTGAATCGATCTGCCTGAAGCAATTACTGCAATGGCACCAGACTATAGAGCGGATTTCCTCTTCCACGTGCTAAGGCCAGCTTCTAACGCTCTCATCTCCACACACAGGGGCAGATCTGCAAGTGTGTGTCCCAAAGGGCTCAACCTGCTGCTCAAGGAAAATGGAGGAGAAGTATCAGGCAACGGCCCGTTTGACCATGGAGCAGCTCCTCCAGTCTGCCAGCATGGAGCTGAAGTTCCTCATAATTCAAAACGCCGCCGTCTTCCAAGGTAAGCGTTTGGAATGACTTTCCCTTGCCCGGCCCTCAGGGCGCGTTATGGCACCCCTGGGTGCTCAGCTTCAGGAATAATGATTAAAGCTGAATGGGACCTTTTGCCTCTGAGCTCTGCTAGTAGCAGTCCTTGCTGCATCAGGAAAGAGCAGTGTCTTACCCTAAAGGAGGAGGTGGGGGATATCAGCGGGGCACTGGCTGCTTCCCTGACCTGGGCCAGCACCCGCCTTGCCCGTCAACCCTGCAGCTTGGAGCGTGCTAGCCGCAGCATTCTGCGTGGGGGATGGGCAGAGAGAAGGGGGTCCTCGTGGCCCCCCTCTCTTTCCCGCCCCCCTTTAGTGCCAATGGAGGACAAGTCATGTAACTCTTGCCTAGTTAGGGCACCTCACTGATGTAGTTCTTCTCAATGGTGCTAGGGAAAGATTTGTGGCGCTAAAGAGCTGGGAGAAGGTAGTCGTCTTCAACATGCCTTGTTACACCTGTTCCCACGACCCGGAAGGGATACGTCCAATAGCCTCTCTTTGAGGTGGAGTCTCTTTCAGCGAGATCCTTGCTCCGTTCTTTGGGCCCTGGAAGTGCAACCGTTTAGTGCTTCTGAGGCTTTGCTGCTGTGTTCAGGGATCTCTCTTTGATAGTGACTGAAGCATGAAATAAATGCTCACGCGGCTTAGTCTGGGCTGTGCCTTGTTGCCGTGCTGCAGTAGCTACGTGGTCAAAGCACTGTCGGTTTTCAGTGCCTGGCTAATTAATTCATTGTGACAATCTGCTGGGGAAACAGTTTCTTTCTGAACTTTCACGGCGTGAGGTCTCGAACGATCAAGCAGCACAGGCCCCAGATGTGACAGTTACCACATGTGGAATAATTCACTATTGCCAGCGAGAAATGACCAGGCCCAGTAGCCGATGTCTGAAAGAGCTACAGGCTTCTGTGCTCCGTTGCTGTTGGCTTAGTGGAGGAAGCGTTATGTAGCTTGCAGATAAACAGCATTTTGAGCCCCAAAAAGCTACGAAAGGGGCTTCCTTGCCAGTGTGTCTTAATTTTGTTTTAAATCCCCTTTGTCAGATGCTTTGTGCCCTCTGGTTCCTGCCCCTTCCATAGGAAGGGTGACTCAGAGCACTTTTGACCTTTAGGCGGGGTTGGGGTTAGAGGGGCAATCAGCCGAGGACCCCCCCAGCGCTGGTGCTGGAGGAAGAATCTTGCAATGTTGGAGCAGATTTTGGTGGGAGATGAGGTGGGGAGCATTGTGCGTGGCCCGAGAGATTACCCTGGGGTAATATGGAAGAGTGGTGGAAGTTTTCTTCGTTGCTAACCCCTGTTAGGTGTGGAGAGGGGGTTAGGATGAATGGCTAGGAACTGGCTTCTCTGAGGCACATCTTCTCCACTTTCCAATCCAAATGGGCTGCTCCATACTAGATTCGGTTTTCGCTTCCGAACCTCGGTAAAATTATAAATAGCCTCTAGTTTGTAAAGCGTAAGGGCTCTTCTGCGGCTAATATAGAAGTTGCCCCTGGACCAAGAGGACAGGAGGAGACTATCCCAGGTGTTTCCTTGGTTCTTGTATTGCCTGTGGCTTTTGTGGCAGTGATTTCTGATGTGGCAGGTTGGGACCTGTGCACAGGTCCCCTAACCAGGTTTGTTTCCAGAACTGTATTTAGATGATGCTAGAGGCGCACCAGCCAGGATGGCCCTGTTTGACACTTTCGTAATAACTTTCCTCTGAGGGTCCCAACGTACTTCAACAGCTTTAACTACTAACGCTGAACGGTGCTCCTCTGACCCTATGCAAATAAGTACTGTATTATTCTGACCTGACAGATGGGTAAACTGAGGCACACAGAGCAGAAACAATTTGCCCAAGATCACAAAGCAAGTCCGTAGCAAGGTCGTTATTCCTGACTCCCAGTCTCTGGCCAGAACCACTAACAAACACAGTAATTTCAAAGGAGTAAAAAGAGATTTGATCATCCCTCTGATCAAAACAGTGGGTACAGATTCTAAGACCAAACATCTTTCTGTGGCGTGCAAATCAGTTAAAAATCCCTTTGTTTAGAACTAAACAAGCTGTTACTTGTACAGTTCTTTCAGTATAGTACTTCATAAACCCATCATTAAAGTGTGTGATAATTTTGCCCATACCTAATTCAGGCTGTAGTCCAGAATGAAAGTCTCATTGAGGTAGCTAAATACTGTCTCTGCCCATGGGACTAGCGTGTTGCTCTGTTCAGTTACCCATGTTTTTTCCCCATCTTTAATTTGATGATATGTTGTTTTCTCAGCAAAACTGACCTCTGATAAACACATTTCATTGCTAGAGAATGGCAATTGGTACAGTCATTTATGTTTGCAATTGCTCTTCATGGGCTGTCGTCAAGAAAAATAGTTTTTTCCATGGCTAATGTGAGATGAAATGATTGCGCGAATGATGACCAACATAGTATTGGTATTAAATCATTCTAACTGAATAACTTTTGTGCTATATTTAAAAAAAAAAAAAAAAAAAAGGATGAGCAATCAAGCATTTTCCCAGCATGCTAGTATTCTTTGCAGAGTAATCTGCTAACGACAGGCATCTCGTTTATTTTTGACCACGTCTTGCTAAGGGCCAGATCCAAAGCTTAGTGAAGTCAATGGGAGTCTGTAATGAACTTCCGATCAGACCTGAACATAAGCCCTGCTCCGATCCAGTACTTGGCTTGTCAGTGCATGTGCCACACTCCTTACTTCTCTGAAAAAATAAATGGATAGAAGGGTTTCTGGAGCCTTTTAAATGAGGCTGTATTTTATGAGTGCTAAACAGAATAAAGTAAACCTCCTGGGAGAATGAGATGACGTGTACAGGAGGAATGCAAAGCATAGTCAGAAATGGTGCATAGCTAATTAATAGGACTGGCTGGAAAACAAGAATTTCCTCTCCTGACAAATTTTGAGATTTTAGAATCTGCTTTCATTCTGGGTTGGAATGGAACCGAGATCTTTCAAAAAATTTTCAGAGAGAGAAAAAGAGCAAGCAAGAGAGAGAGACACTGACTGCTTGGCTGACCTTTCTTCTACCCCTCTCCTCCAAGAAAAGCTGATAGGCGAGCAGCGAGGAGATTCATCTGGACAAGTGGAAGATCCACCTCTGGATCAGGCAGAGTAGGGACTTGGGTGTGGGAGACCTGGGTTCTAGGTGATTTCCCTAACCACTGTGCTATGGGCTATTCTGGGAGGTGTCTCTCTTTCATTTGGACCAGAAATTTCATCCTGGATCTGCAAAACCATCATGAAGAAAGTTCAGCTGAAATTGACACGGATCTGTGAAAAGTTTTAATTTCAGTGAATCGACGTTTCCTGATGAGAAAACGTTTTGCTGAAAAATTCCCAACTAGCTCCACTAATGAAACTAATCACTGCTAGAGCAGAGCTCTGGTGATCCCATTATCAAAGGGTGAATTTCAAGCTGGAGTCCAAGAGCAGCTCAGTTTAATTAGCTCTGTATAAATTATTTTGGACTCAAAGAAAACCGATTTACCAATGTTAAAATTGGGTTCTTTACTTGCCTTTGGATTTAAAAGCTGATATACATTTTATTTATTTATTTAAAGTAGAACATGGGTCTCCATTCCTTTAAAAATATTTTGGTTGGTGAAGCACCAAAGGTTGTGTGAGCTGCAAAAAGTGGGCCTCGACTCCATGTACGGACTTGTAGGCCAAAGAAGCCATATAAAGGCTGGCTCTGTCTCGGGCAGGAAGCTGTGGAGGTGATGGGGAAGAGAAAAGTTTTTCCCAGTCTTTTCTAGGGTTGTAGTGCTTAGTGCAAGAGATTTTTTTTAAACTCCCCCCCCCCACCCCCTTCTCACCTTCTGATTCCCAGTCACAGCTGTGCAATGTGTCTGGAGAATCTGCCATGGGATGGGTGTGAAAGAACAGAGATGGTGGGTTGTCCTGCTCCTGGTGTTGATTACTCCACGGGCTTTAGGCCTGATTTTTTGGGTGTTGTTTAGGCACCTGAAGGTGCAGATACATCTCTAGGGGCTCGGTAAAATCCACTATGTGCCTATCGGCATCTTTAGGCATCTAAATACCACTTTAAAATCTGTATCTACAATCTTTGTATCTACTTGGTCCAAAGTGGATTTGGGGGGTGGGGAAGAGGAGGGTTCCATGACTCTACGAGCTGTGGGTTTTCAAGAAAAAACCCAGCATTGTGAGATTTGCAATACAATTGTGAGAGCTGGCAACACAGTTAAAAGAAAAAGCTGAAGTAATGTGTAGAGGTGGCTTTAAAAAAAAGTTATTCTGAAAAACTGTCCCTTGTCCTCGTCAATTACTTTGACAAAATATCACAGATTCCATGGGTCTGACCCGCGTGTCTCCTGGGAATGGTGTGCTGGGAGGAAATAATTGTGCTCTTGCCTGAAGCAGTGTAATATGTTGGTATGGGAACACATCCTGCCCACTCACAAAGAAGAAGAAACCCTTCAGAGTTCATTTTAATATTTTTAGCCTGACATCTGAAGGGACTGTTAGCCTGACAAACAGTATCTAGCCCAGATGTTATTATTTCGCACTAAATTTAATTTCTTCCTGCTGAAGCTCTAGCAGCTTCTCTGCTGATAAAGATTGGGGAAATTGTCTGGCATTCACAAAAATCTCATCCAGGCATACCTGTTATAGTGTTCACTTAGCAAAATTTATTAGATTATTAGAGTTTTAGACCCTTGAGCTCTTCCTTTATTGCAGTTCTAAGAAAACACAGCAAAAAAAAAAAACCCCAAAAAACCCAGAGCAAAAAAACAATCTTCACCAAATTTAAGTGGTACAATTAGGCCCTGGTCTTGTCTTACAGGCATTTTTAAAATTATGGAGGTGATTTAAATTGTGTTTGTTACCTTAGAAACTTGCTGGGTTTGACCGCTTTAAAATTGAATGGAGCTAGCATCCACTGTGGTATATTCGTGTTCTAGGATTTGTAATGGCAGATTACATACAAAGCAGGATTGTGCTGTGTTATCTGT